CGGCCCACCTAAATTCGTTTTAAAATGGTCGGTGGGGACTCCCAATTCATTTAGTCTAAGTCGAAGCCCAATTTAGGATCCAACCGAAAGACGGCTACGACATAGTGGAACACAGAACATTGCCTACAAAGATAAAGTAGAAGGTTGTACATAATTTGAAAATTATCCTTGTCGAGACATCGACTCTCGATGTTCAATATCCATGAGAACCAATTTACCACCATGTGGGTGGAAATTTTACCCTTTATAATTTAAAAGATTTTTAAAAGAAAGAAATAACCATTAGCATTTTAATATATACAAACACCTTTGACAACTGAGAGCACGCAAAAATTAAGTTTGCATAGAGTTGTTTTTCCCATATTAAAAATGATGCAACCAACCAACAACCAGTTGGCCAAGTGGGATGTAACACCCCAACCCATATCCGACCTGAATACGAGTCTGAGATGTCACATTGACTTTTAAAAATGATATTCTTACAAAATATCAAAACATTTGAACTCATTTTAAGAAAATACGATCATATATTGTTGAATTGTGTTTGTTATAAAATTTTGAGGCAAAAATATATTTATGAACAGTAAAATACAGTATGAATAGTAGCGTGAACAGTAATGAACAACACACTGCTACAGTACCCGAATGTTAAAATTATCCAGATTGACATAGGGGAGCCGATTCCCCTGCTACAGGGAATCGATCCCTTGTTACAGTACTGCTACAGTACTTCCATAAAATACGTATAAATTCATAAAAATCCAAGGTTTCATCATTATACATTTACCATTTGCATATATACGTTTAAAACATTTCCAAAACTCGATCAGAGCATATCTAATACAAATCCTTTTTATTACATGCCAACTAAATTCTTTCTAACAAAATACATGTAATTCGATCTACATTTCTGATCTTCGGTAAGGAGAACTGACTTGTCTCATTCCTCTTTACTTCTCTTTCCACTTTTCAAACCTACGTGTGAAACAATAACACGCTAAGTCGATGACTTAGTGAAGCATACAAAACATATAATATAACCATATACCATTTCATATAAACAAACAACATACATATGCAAATACTATCATTAATCACTTTTACTTACCATATATTCATCATATAACACATATATCACTATTCCAAGGAATAAATATATCATCACATAATTTCTATAACATATTTCACATTACCAAATGTACATATCACATATAGTGTATTTGTTATTATCTCTTATTAATCCATGTACACATGTCACTAATTATTTTTATCATATAACATATACTAAACATTTTTATACAGATCATGAAACACATATATCATTTTCAATACGTTTAACATTTCACATTCATTATCATTAATTCTTATACACTATAACATAAATCTTGTGTTCTATTCCATATAACAAATCACATATACATATCATATTCAGTATACTTGTTAAATTTCTTTGTTAGCCCATGTACACTATTGAGAACTGAAGGTATGTGAGTACATTGAGGTTGTGTACTAATGTTGTCACCACAGCTCGTATAAATGTCCCGAAGGACCTATCCAGAGGTCATAAAGAACCTCGGCAGCTGTCCATAGGTCCCGAAGAACCTAGGTAAACTGTCCATATGTTCTTTAGAACATAGGTAATCCTGTCCATATGTCCCGAAAGACATAGGTAAGCCCTCAACTCTTGGCATGCCAACTATACCCCTAGCTCTCATATCACATAACATGGGCATTATCATTTATAACAGTTCACATATTCACATATTCATATCACATCATTTTTTCACATAGCTCTTTATCACATTTCATGTAATCACATATTTATTCTCTTCTGTCACATACCACATGTATGTGTAAACATCTATCTCATGTCATATAACATGTATCACATTTTGCATATTCATGTAATCATATAGATCATGTCACATAGCTTATATAATTTCTCATATTCATATATATATATATATATATATATGGTTCACTTTCACATATCACATATTCATTTCTCCTATTTTTCATATCATGTCTCATATAACCACATATGTCTATCTTATCTCATATGCTTCGCATACATCACATATATCACATTCATATCACATATTCATATAGGCTCGCGGTTTTATCACCTATCATGTCATTTCACATATACACTTTTATATCGCATAAACCCATATCCTCTTATCACATAACTTCTTATTATATCATTCACCTCATATAACTTATTGTCACATAATCTCATATCCCATATACTATATTCACATACTTCAATATCATTTGACTTATTTCACTTTATTACATTAAAAGATAGACATATAGTCTTATGTGCTCTATCAATAGTATTTGTTCATATGATGTCCTTTTACCTTATCAGTAAATACTACTTATTTTATCTCACCTTTCCATTTATTTACATAAGCCACATAGCATTTACAAGAATATATCCACTCATATAATCAAGCATACATACATTTCATGTCATTCATTTCATTCTCTATATCCTTATCACATAACTTGTTCATATATCGTCTATGTTCATTCACTTAATCTTCTATGTTCATATATCTATATATATCACAATACATAGAACAACATGTCAAACATATCATAACATTTTAAGAGTTACTTTTTACCATAGTAACTCCATCACTGGCTCATCGCAAGTCAATGTTTGTTCTATAACATAAGCACAAATTAAATTGCACTCACCTTAGCCTTGCTTTGATTCGATCCTAATCCTTTGATTATTCCGAAATTTGTTTAGGCTCAATATCTATATAAATATAACATTTCAAAACAATTATCAGAAGCCTAAATCTTAAATTTGATGTTAATAACTTAAGCCGATTTAAAGAACCAAAATTTTATTTTTCCATTAGGGGGAATCGATGCCCCCTAGGGGGTATCTGTTCCCTCTGCACAATCTGGAATTTTCGTTCAAGCCCAGAAATAATTGTTCATTGCACGAAAATTCACTATTTCCACTTCAATTCTTCATATTTCATTCCCTTTCATATTCTTAACTCAAATATACATACTTAAACTAATTTCTACTCATTTATCACATCTTAAACCTCACAATCTTCTCCTCTTTATGAACTTCAAAAATCATACCCAATTTTCAATGTACTCTAAATTCAATTCTATCACTTCATATCTCTTAATTAAGCTAATGACAAGTCGAATTTAACTTCAAATTCAATTTATCAACTCTTTTTCGGAAATTCATTTAGAAACTCATTCTCTTTAATCTTTCATAACTTCTTCATCTTTTGATTTTAAGATAACTTAAGCTTTCCTTAAGATTAGTTATCATCTAATGATCAAAACTAACTCATAAAATCAACAAATAATTGATTAACCATAAAACTCACCTTTGCCTTGGAGCCTTCACGGGAGGAGGAAGAAGAAGATGAGAGAAATGTCTGGAAACATTTGTTTCCCACATTTTTCTTCCACGTGGGTTATAAGATAACCCTATATATTATTTTATTCTCTTATTTGTTCAATGATCATTTTGCCCTTTATTTCTTTTGATAATTACTAAAAACTTTCAGGAAATACTTTCAAATAAATCATTGAACCTTTCAACTTTTCCACTTTAATCACCAAATTCTAAAATTTTACAATTTAATCACTAATCCATAGTTTGGGATGTTACATGGGATGAGACACTAGGTCCCTTAAGCAAGGTCAGGGTTCGAATTCTGGCGTTTGCGAATAGGTAAAATTGGGTTGAGATGGTCGTCCTCGCCTCTGTAATACCCGATCTGGATTAGTCGGTTAATAGATCGGATACCAAGTGATTAATTAAAAAATGATGCAAGCAAATAATGTTAAAAATGGTGTAATCCCATATGATTAACTAAGCAGATCAGCCACCCTAAAAATGTATGTTTCTTGTTTCATTTGTTGCGGACAAAGTGAAATTGCTTCTCCTTTTTATGAATGGTCTGAAATTATCTCAAAACGTTTTGTTTTACATAAAAATCAGGTTGGTGGGCATATTAATATATTGTATATTTCTTGTAAGAATATTTCAACGATCGAGTAAGAAAAAAGAGGAGGGAAGAAGGTGCCAAGAAAATGAGCTAGCGATGGCTTGAGGCTAAACCTGTCTAATTTTTCAAAGGACCGACAAACACTTGAAATATCAAACGTGATATGGTTATGATATTAAATTTATAAAAATATATAAATACAAAATACGTAGATAATTAATTGAGTTTAAATTTGATTTATATTATTATTAGTTCAATATTTAAAAATTATAATTTGAAATTTCAAACACACTTAAACAATATCATTTAAAAATATTTTTAGAATAATACATGTAGACTAGTAAACTATTGGTATGTAGGTAGGTTTAAAAAATGAATTATTAGGGTTTGCCAAGTCTTAAACTAATCATTGGCGTAAATGGCAAACTTACCCTCTCACGTGTAAAAACAGACGGTGGGGTCAACTAAAATAGCCTTTTGTTTCAATTGAAATGTAAAGAGTTTGGTGAGATGTTGATTTTAAACTCACACCCTGCAAACTGGCCAATGGCCATCAAGTAAACCATTTTTATATCCTTCGTTGAAAAACATTTACAATTAGGAAGAAAATTATATTCAATTAAAACTATAATAAACATTTTCGTCGTAGATATGTCAGATTTAATAGTTACACGATAATTCAGTAATTACGACTAGTTCAAGTAGTACTATACTTTCTAAGATATGTTCTATATACATTAAGATATAGATTAAAATTATATCCATAGGTTATAATTTTTAATTCTAATTATCGATCAAATTTGACAAATACCTTAAAGTCTTAATCCATTTAAATCATTTCATTATCCCACATCCAAGTCTGAACCGTATTCCACTTTTTACTATTTCTTCACCTTCCCCTTAAACCATTCCATCATATATACACACGCTTACGTGACAACAAAAGCAAGAAAAATCCATTTGATTCGTGAACTCTTCAGACCCTTTCTTGTTCAATCCCCGGTTATCTATTTCCAGCAGAGCATTGAGCAACGAAAACTGAAACTTGTTTTGATTCTTCAAGAACCCCAAAAGAAAAGCTGGTTTCAGGTATGTTCTTTCTTTGTTATAGATCTTTAAGATCGATTTCTATCTGGTTATATAAGGCGTGTTTGGTTCGATGGAATATTCTTTTCATTACGCGTTCACTCGGTGTGTCGAAGCAATGTACCGTTTAATTCGCGGAATGTGAAGTGGGGAACTATTTATCATTAATTTGTTTGTTTCTGTCTTTGGAAAGTGCAATGGTTAATGTAGATGAATGTGATTCTAGTGATTAAGATTACAGTCAATTACACGTTCCTGTTTCAATGAAATCCCTGATTTTTCTTCTTAAACCGCGTTGATCTTTAGTATTTAAATACATGTATTAAAGCTGTGTGTTCTGTCTCCGACATTCAAAACACTAAACTGCCGCTTTCTCGATTTTTTTTTGTTGTAGTGAGTCAACTGAGTTAACTGCACGATGGCAGAACGAATCCACCCGGCTGATTCTCCACCCACCTCCGGCGAACACCCAACGCCGAAATCAGCAACCTCGTCCCCCGAGAAACCTGTTCCACAACCTGGAACTTACGTCATCCAAATTCCCAAGGACCAAATCTACCGCGTCCCTCCGCCGGAGAACGCGCGCCGATATGAGCATCTATCCAAACGGAAAGCTCGTCGTAGTACCTGTCGCAGCTGCTGTTGCTGTTTGTTGATTACCATCCTCGTTCTCCTCCTGACCGCCGCCATTGCTGCCGCGGTGATTTACTTTGTTTTCAAGCCCGAGTCTCCAAATTACTCAGTCGATAACGTTGCCATCAGGGGATTCAACTTGACGTCATCATCGCCGCTATCGCCTGAATTCGACGTCACCGTCCGGGCACACAATCCCAACGATAAAATTGGTATTTACTACGAGAAAGGCAGCTCCGTTAGAGTTTACTACGAAGATATTAACCTCTGTACCGGTGCGTTGCCGGCCTTTTACCAGCCGACGAATAACGTAACGTTGTTTAGAACGGCTTTAAAGGGCTCTACAATTGAACTAACCAACGGCGCGCTTAGGTCTCTTTCCGACCAGCAAAACAGAGGAGTGGTGCCATTTATTTTGAGGTTGAGAGTGCCTGTTAAGATCAAAGTGGGGTCCGTTAAGACGTGGAAGATTACCGTTAAAGTGAAGTGTAAGATAACGGTGGACAGGTTAGCGGCGGCGGCCAGGACTGTGTCAAAGGATTGTGATTATGGAGTGGATCTTTGGTAATGATTGGAATACGAGCAGGGATAGTGCTCCATGAATATAATATTTTATTTCTTGGGAAACTTGTGGTTATTATATACATATTAGTGGCATACATGACAGATTTTCAATTAAATAAATTTGTATGATATTAATTATTAAATTAGTTGTTTTTATTATATTTATTTTTTATTTACCTCAACACTTTTAAAATAAAATATAAACAACAAGTATGATGACTAAAGTTCGAATATTTTTCTATTTTATCACTAAAATTTATTCTAAATGAAGTCCATCAATGTAAAAAGGTATATTTCGAAAGGACAAAAATCGTCCCTTAATTGTATCCACTAGTAAATTTTTCTATTTTCAAAATTGATCATCAATCGGCCATGCATGTCACGACTTCTAGTTCAAGAGTTGCATTATATAATGTGTTCCATGACTTAATGTAATTGTTGTTTGAATAAGTTTTCACGTAAACAATTGTTTGATGACAAAAATTAAGAAACAAATTAGATTTGACATCAATACGACGGTGAGATTTGACATTAACACGACTAATAAAATTATATTTATCTATTATATTGTTGATATTTTTTGTTTTAGATAATCGGATTAGATGTGGATACCTATTAGGCATTCGTGGATAGTTTTTTATGTGGTTTGAGTTTGAGTTTGATTTGTGGTTTGTCGTTGATCTTTTAATAGTTTGATTTATTTTTGTGGTTCGTTTGTCTTTGTTTGAGTTTCTTGATTAGGTTATGATCTTTTCTTGTATGGTTAAATTGCTAGTGTTCTTTTAACGATTATAGGAGATTATCTTATTATATACTTATTTTAATATTATAATCATAAATCTTCATAATCTTAGATATTTTTTATTTTAAATAAAAAATTTAATTATTAAAGACGAGATTTCAAATAAAAATGTGGGGTGAAGTCGGCTTCTAACACCAACATATTTGTTTTCTTTAGTGACTTTTGCATGCAACGACGATTCAATCTCGACCTGAATTTGCGTGAAACCCATTGGACTTGTATAATAAAGTGATTTGATTATTGGCTCAAATCCAAGTATGCTCTCCTAGGCCTTTTGTTGCATAATAAAAATTGCCCAGCCAACCCAAGCCATTCATCACCCATAAAGTTTTAAATATCATTATTAGAGATAGGGACGAGATAAAACAAGTCGATTTTTTATTGGAGATATATTGAAAAGCGAAAAATAGGAAATTATTATGGGGGCATTTTGGATTTAGGAGTGTAATTTAACTCGTATCCGACAGATTTCGATTCGACTTGATTTGATATGATCAATTAAGAAAAATAGGTTCGGATCGAGTCGGGTAAGATTTGGATGGAAGATGAAAAAACTTAAATTCGACCAGAACATAATAGTGTAATTTTCTTAAAAAATTATTATTTTTAATTAAGTCCTTATTTGGGTGCATGCAATTGCAACCTGCAAAAAAACATGCTGCTCCAACAATGGCCAGGTTCTGCGAGCAGTGGGAGGAAGACGCACTGCTGTCTAAGCGTCAACCCGTAAAGCGCACTACCTGAACCTCAATACGTTACCCCTCATTACTGTAGTAATAATCCTATTTGAGAAAATAATCTGAAGCAAACATTATTCGAACCAATAAAAAATTCCATACCATTATCTAAAAAAAATTACCGTAAGAAATATTTCTCCAGTTATTTAAAGGAAAAAGTGTTTGAATAATGCAATGGAAAAAATTTTTACTTAGTGCAGTCGAATAATTATTTGTTTAAGTAGGGTGATTTCTACAGTGACCACCATAGGTCTCCAGGAGCACATAACGACCTCCATAGGTATCCAGGAGCACACGACGACCTATAGAGCACTTGACGACCTATGGAGCTGCAACAACGAGGGAAAAGAAAAGAGTTGCTTCAAAAGATGAAGCTTTGTCGTAAGGAGCACTTGGTGACCAATGAGGTCACTTTAGCAAACACCCCAGTTCAAGAAATAATTTGGGTAGAGCCCTATATGAGGAATTTTTTTTCCCAACGCCCTACATGGGCGAGGAAGCCGTTATTTAAAAGAAAGACTTAAATATATTATTTAGTGTTTAAATTATACCTTAAAATATAATTTAATACTTAAAGAATTGTTGTTAATAATATATGTCTAACATTTTTTAGTTACACTTTTAAGTGTTTATAATTTTTTCCGTTACACTTTTAGGTACTTATTATTATATTTTTTCATTTTTGTAAATTTTTAATAATAAAAATATTATTTTGCTAAAAAAAGAAAAAAGCAAACCCCTTATGACTCAGTGACAAATCTATAAAAAATTTATAGACTCGGCTAATATAAACATAATAAAAAATTTATTTAAAAAATCATATATATATATATATTGATCACCTATCATTAAAAATAACAATGATATTAACATGACTTTTTTTAATTATTTTTCAATCATGACATAATATTATCTTAGGATGATATATCAACATCACCACAAATTTTTTAAAAATGAGAGACCAAAACATAACTAAAATGTAACATTAAGGGTGATTTAAAAGAAATAATAGTTGAATGACCAAAATAGAAACTAAGTAATAATGGGTAACTTAATAAGCAATTTACCCTTTTTGAGCATAGGGGTCATGACCTAGGTAAGCATAGATACACTCCTACCTCATCGTCTCTCTCCCTCTCACCCCCACGGTTGACGGTGGCGATGTGTGACGTACGGACTATTGTACCTGTCAAAATTATGAAAACAATAATATGGAAAAACCTAGAAAACCGATGATCCTTTACAACATTTTCACGACAATCAGCGCAGTATTACAGTGGGTTAGGGACAGAGTTTTTGTTGCGGCGGCAAAACGGTTTTGATGGTGTTAACGGTGACCTATCAACGGTAAAAGATGTAAATTTTGAGTTTTTTTTTTGTTTTTTAATTATAATATTAATTTTTAAATAAAATAATTTTTAAAATTTTATATCCGCGACCCGTATCAAATAACGACTTAAATTAACAGTCGTTACGGTCTAGACACTTAACGTTAAACACCTATTGTTAACAACAACAAAAATCATTTAAATACCAAAACGTATTTTATGATATAATTTGAACACTAAAAAATGTATTAAGCCCGAAAGAAATAACTAAAACTTAAACAATTTTTTTCCTTTTTGATCAGAGATTAAATCCATCCAATTACCATTATTAATAGTTCTCCATCTAAATTATAAAAGAAACTTGTAATCAATATTTATAGCTATCATTTACTATATTATATAGGAATAATTTTTAAAACGTGGTACGTATGAATAATTAATCACAGTACAAATGTGTCCATTTATAATAATTCAGTGGCCGTGAAAAATTATAAAAGAAACTTGTATCAATATCACTATCTTGTCCTAATCGAAAAGACTAAAAACTTAGCTGATAGTATGAATATAATAATTTTACTTTTAAATTATTTGAGACTTTCTTTTAATGAAAAAATCACAATTTTCTTGGTTCCTTCCTCGACTTTTAGAATTATTATCTTTGACGAATCTATTAGTCAACAAAAGATTGAGGGCGTCGTGTGTAATTTCCCTCGACAAATTTATAATTGCAAATTTCAGATAAAAAGTTGAATTGTTTGAATTTTGTCATCGTCTCCTGCAATTCACCTTTTCTATTTTTCATGCTCATTGTTGCTTTATCTACAGATATGGCAAATTAAATACTTAAAGCGGAAGTCTCCTCCAGCACAAACCAATTATGATCCTGCAATTTATACTTTAAAGAAGTCAATTATTGTATACCTTATATTAAAGATAGAGCCTTTACATCACTCCCTGTTATATTAAAATGAAACTGCTTTCTGGATTGAGTAAATAAAATTATACTTTAGCCAAATACCCTGCCCGTGTGATCTAGTTATGTACTTTCTTTGTATGTAAGAAAGGACCCAGAACATTGAAAGGGGAGATGAATTTTGCAGATAAAACCTCATCTGCAATATATATATATAAACCCAACAATGAAAGCAATACAAACAACAATGTGGTGCCAACAAGGTTAAGGTTACGGTTCACGGAATGTAAGATTACCAATCGGAATAAGATTACCGGCGAGAATAAGATTACTGGGAATGTTGTATTTTTTGTTTGGTTCGTTTAGTATAAATGTATGATTACTGTGTTTGGTTAAAGGAATAAAAGATTATTAGAATGTTTATTTTATCAAATTGTCCTTATTATATATATTTTTTTACAAGTTGAATTATACTATAATATTACTATAATTAATTTATATATTTTCTTTAAAAATTTTAAATTCATAAAATTTATATAATTTTTTTTACAAAATTAAAAAAATAAATAGGTTTAATAAAAGGATAAAATTTTATTTTAACTCCTGAATTCATATAAAATTCTAATTATGACTTTTTTATAAATCTAAAATAATTTAAGAATAAATTTATAATTTAACTTTCGTATAATTATTTTTATTCAACTACATAATAAAGATATTTTTGAAGATTTATTTTAGGACATTTTAATCCAAAACGTCGATAATCCAATAATACCTAAGAAAAAATATATTCACATTCCCGATAATATACGTCTAAAATATCATTGTTGAAAATAAAAAATTACAAGGAATTGAAAATGTTTACTAACCAAACAAAAGAATAATATTCTATTCCCCTAATAATTCAATAGGCTGCCAACCAAACACCCCCAACCATTATCCTTTTCCCTTTGATCTTTTTCTCCTTTAGGTGGAAATAAATTCATTAATTGCCTGGCTTTTGTTATATTTTTTTTCATAAATGGGGACCATTGAAATGATAAGTTCCAAACTTTGAACGGTGACAAAGAAAGGTGACCCCAGTACCAAACACTCGCACACTTGGCACAAAACCAGACTAGTTCCATTCCCCATCTTCCACCAAAGACAGGATCCGAGTGAAACTTAAACCATCTTTAACTAATGTGGGATCTAAAGTTCACATGAGATGCACAGCAACAGGATAGGATTGCACTAAAAGGCAACAGTTTCCATTAAACACCTAT